GAGTTAGGCCATCTTTATCAGCCTGTACCAGGTGGCTGGCTGGGCTGGGCTAAGTGACCTTGTGCTCAGAATATGCTGGGTGGGAGAGGGAAGGCCACTCTCTTCCTGGGAAAACATTCTGCTAGGAAATTTCTTCTTGTCCCTTTGAGAATAAGGGGTGAGGGTCCCACAAAGGGCACTCGTTCTAGAGGAGTACTCGTTCACTTTCCAGCATTGACAAGGTGTAACTCCAGTTTCAGGGCATCTGAAGCTCTCCTCTCTGGGCAACAGGCACATGTTAGTGCACAGGCACACAGGCAGGCACCACTGTATATGTGAACTAAATAGAGAAAGAAAGAACAAGAACGGAAAAAAAAATCTTGGGAGAAACAGCAAAGGTACTGGCTTGAGAAGAAATAAATGTGAGTCTAGACTAGCTTTACTGTAGAAAGTATCTAGGAAGTCTCAAACTACTTTCTATTGCATATGACCCTGTGGGAAATCACATGTTGAGAAAGAAACAGTGTTAATTTGCTTTAGTTTGGCAAAAAAAAAACTTCAATCAATTTATCAGAAAATAACAGGGAGGCCCTGTACGGAGCCAGCGGTCATTCTTCAGTGACCGGGTTCTCGATACAGAGGATGAAGCGGTCAAAAGGAAACGAGACAGGTAAGTGTGAATTGGGGAAGTCTTATACAAGCTATGTCTTACATTAAAGGAAGCTTATTAAAAAGTACAGCATCTTATACTATTGTTAGGGGAGAAATGGGACAAAGTCAGCAGGAGGCTAATCAATGACATCACACATAAGGAACACAGGGTTTCTCAAGAGCATTAGAGACGAGCACACAGAGGCCTTGGGACTGATAATTCAATCTCTTCAGGAGGAACAGTCACGGTCCCAGGAACCAAAACCTTGACTCCTTCGAGGTCCAGGCCTCCTCCCCAGACTGGCCTTGCCAAGTCCACTCCTGAGCAAGGGCACAGAACTAGGTTCCTTTTGTCCTTTAATCAGGGTCCCTAAGAAAGCCTTAGATTGTTGACTCTCCCCAAGGCCCAAGACATGCTTCTAAAACATGGCTAGCACTCTTCACAAGCACAAACACTTAAGAGGCAAAGAGAGACAGCCTCAGAGTGAGATGACACAGGGGTGTTGGTGTCCACACTAACTGTCACGGTGGGGAAGAGTATTTCGGGATTTTATGCCTTTGAACTTCTCTTTTCGATGTTGGCTCTACCCCAGGGTCTTGGGAGTATGCCAGAACAAATATTACCTCCAAGTGATGCTCCCGGCCCTGTAAACTTTTCCCCATCCCAAGTTATTTTAAAGAATAAATACTTAAAGGCTACTGGCTGCAGGAATTCCTACAGCATTTCTGTAGGATACATTCATTTTCATTGAAGATAAAGTCCAGGATTTTCATCAAAGAACTTTAACATTAGTTGGTTCAGAGGTGGGCACATGATGGGCCAGCAGAATGTCTTTTCTACACCTGTACACGGTGACACATTTCAAACACTAAAGGAAAGTTGATCACACACTCACAGAGGTTTCCAGTGTGCTGCACACTTGGCCAGCCTTGGGAACTCAGAACCAAGCCCTGGAGAGCTCCTTGCTCAGGGCTTTGTGCTGTCTGGACAGGGACCTGATGGGGAAGCCCAGCATGTGGATGGAGAGGAGCAGGCCCAACTGAAGAAATGGTGAGAGCAGAGTCTGGGCTGCAGAAAGACTAAAGTGCAGACAGGCTAAACGAACAGGGTCCCGGGAAAATGGCACCACAGGCAGGCAGCTGAGGGCTCCCTTCCTTTCAGGGTAGGAACAATGGACTCAGTTTTGAGGCACCAGCACCCTCAGCAGAGCTCCTGACTCAGCCCTTGCTGTGCACCTGAGATCTCCCAGGTCTCCCCAGCAGTCTCCACAGTGCTCTCCTGGGACACTCGCCTTCCCCACAGGTTTTCTTTCTTCCTCTGCCAGGAGCTCGCTGCCTGTGACATGGACTCTCTCATGAGCAGTGTCAGACACAGCTCGTCCCTGAACTGACTGACACACTGACTTGAGACCCTGTGCTGTGCACATGCGCATCACCCTGGAGTGCAGCACTGCTGATTTGCCAGATGTTTGTAGAGCAGTGGAGCAGATTCTACAGCTGAGGAGAAATTAGCAGTGCACACCAGGATACAATGGGGCCAGCCCTGGACACTGGGAGGGCGTGCAGACTCCGGCAGTGACGTGTATCTCTGAGGCCACTGAGGTCAGCAGGTAATGATTAATAGCCCAAGACCTATGAACCAATGATTATAATTAAAATCACAAGTGAACTTGTGGGTCTGTGAGTGAAGTCAGCGACAGATGTCCTTGTTTGTGGATAAGATCCCTGAGTCTGAACTTGGCAGGAAGTAACCATAATTCTCACTGTCTTGTAATGACATTGCTAATGGTGACATGACAGCTTTCCCACAGCAGTAACTGCAGGGATGCCCAGATGCACAGAGACACAGAGCATGCTGGGACAGAGTGTCGATGGTCATTCAGGTGAAGTTAAGTGTGAACTGTGAAATTCTTTTCTGCCCTTCACTTCCTGATTAAAACAGGACAAAGGTTGAGACAAATATTCTATTACAGGATATTAGCATTATTATCAGATACTGTAAGGAGGGGACATTGTAAATTCAACTTAGCCTTGAATTTAAGGCAATGTGTTAATTATGTAATTTCAGGCTACTTTACAAACTTTCCCCCAAATTCAGTAGATGTAAGCACATCTTATCATCATAGCTGAGGGCTCCGTGGTTGACTCTGTGACACCATTCATGCTTCTAGCACAGTCCTCCCTCCCGTGTTTCTTCTGTCCTGAGCAATGTGCTTCATTAGGGTTGTTCACAGGAACACGTAAGAGAGGTTTCTTAGAGGCACAGGAGCATTAATCCAATAAACATTGAAGGATCCAGATCTTTGGGAGAGAGTGGTGGCTTGTGAGCCTCTCCCTCTGACTTGTTATGTTTCTACTCTAAAATGAAACTCTGGAATCTTGAACTCTGTGGGAATCGATGGGAGTGGCTGCTCCCTATTGGTCCCCACCCCATTGGTGAGAAGGGTCAACTTATTAAAGTAGCTGCCACACTCATCTGGAACAGGAGGTGGGGAGCTGAGCGGAGCAGAAGCCTGGACTCCCACTAGGTCAGTCCTCTCTCTTATAACCTGTGTAACAAGTTCCATGTCTGCATCAGTGGGAAATAGCTTTTCAGTGTTCTATTTAGCATGAGTTAATTGTACAAAAGAGCTGGTTCTATTATTTAATTTCCATATATATGGAAATTAAATAATAGATATTTATAATAGATATATATATATATTCTTTTATCATATTCACTGCTCAGTACTACTGATTTTATCTCTGTTTGATTCTGGTGCGTATGAATGTTTTGTGGCTGAACATGGAGTAGCAAGCTATTTCTCCCCCTCTCTTCCTTCTCTCTTTCTGTCCTCCCTTCCCTCCTCCATTCCTCCTTCCTCATTTCTCCCTGTTTCCTCTGTCCTGGTCTTCATTCTTCCCTTCTCTGTTCCTTCCTCCTCCTCCTCCTCCTCCTCCTCCTCCAGTGTTACTGAGCTGAAGGGTGGGGTTTAAGGTGTTTACAAGGGAATCTAAACGCATGGGATTTAGGACAGTGAGGAGCAGACCTGGATTTTGCTCTCAGACAAACCTGAGATCAATAACATAGTTCTCTTGAATTGTGTTCCAGTCTCACAGAGAACATGCAGATTCCTCTCACTTGAGAACTTGAATTCACCCAGACTCTCCCAGCCTTCCCTCCCAAAGCCTTTCCCCAGCTTGGATTTCTACCACATTTGTTTGTGTCCTGTGGATTCTGATTGTTTTGATGATTGTGTTTAAATAGCAGAACAACAGGTTTCATACTTAGGATTTGTTACTTTATTACTATCATATTTAATTAAAAACAGAATAAGCTGTTTTTAGATGGTAATCCCTAGAAACAAATGAAAAAACTGTAAACCTTGAACTATTGCACCATGAAATATCTGAAGAATGTAGACTTAACTTTGCATCATACATCAGAGAGAAAGTTGTTTGCATATTTCTTCTGTGATCACAATTGTGTGCATGAGGAAATGCATGGAGACGAGAAAACAGTTTAAAATTCTGTTGGAAGATATAGCAGGAAGAAATGAGTCTGTAGAGGAAAGAGGCTAAACACAAACTCTGACCCTCAGCAGTTATGCCGACCACCCTTTGCTAAGGCTCAAAGCATTCATGGCTAATCTGGAGAAGACCAGCGGACTCTGAGACACTGTGCAGCTCTAAAACCGGGAGGGTGAAGGTTCTGCAGGATGGGGAGGGATCTGAGAGCCTCAGCATTTCAGAGTCCCTGTGAAGTCCCCAGTATTGAACCTCCAGGGCAAAGGAGGGTTCATGGAGAAAACAGAGAAAAGTAAACAGAAAGACAAAAAGAACAGAGCATTATAAAGTGCTGTAGGATACTGTTAGGTGCCCAGGAGAAGCAGCAGCTGTGACCTGAGGGCAGGGAGGCCGATATCTGAGGGGTAAGATTATTGCCGAGGCCTGGTGATGCTGAACTGGTAGGCAGAGTCCGCAGCCCTGGAAGACCTGATGTCTTCTTCTAGCCTTCTTAGCCACTTCAGCCATGGGCACTCTCTCTCTCTCTCTCTCTCACACACACACACACACACACACACACACACACACACACTCACTTATACACACACACACAGAAACACACTATTGCATACACAGACACACACACTAGTTGGTGCGCAACACACACACACTCATATACACCAACACACACACTCATGCACACACACACACAAGTAGAGTGCTTTTTAAAGGGCAGACTCTAAAATTTCCTATCATATCACAAGTTAAAGTCACTGCCCATGACACATGATGTTGACTTACAGCCCAATGCGCCGCAGGACCCAATATGTGGGCTCCCTGTGTACGAACTGAGCTGCACTCGCCAGGGTTTCCTCATCACCTGACTGTCTGGACATTTATCTCTCCTGGAAACTGGAAACAGGGACAGCTCCTCACCCGCAAACTCTGTGGTGATTACATGAAGTTCACATGAGCAACTGCCCGTTATGTGGTGTGCACCAAAGGCAGTGATTTCCCTGTAATACGAAGTTGATGCATCAGCTACCGCCTTCTGGACCATAGAACAGGATCCAGTCAAGCAGTGGGAAACAGACCTACAACCAAGAGATGTGCCTTTCTCCTGTGGGGAGAACAAGAGTTTAGCACAGCTAGGGTGACATGAAGCCATCAAAAGCTTCTAAACTAAGCAACCCAGGGACCAATGGCTGGGGAGGGACTTTGTCTCATTCCCTCCATGATGGCTCTGCTTTTCGAAGCTCAACAGGCTCCCAGTTCTTCATCACTATAGGTCTGGGATGTTCTGTCTATGTTCTCTAAGTGAAGGCATTTGACAAGCTGAGACCTGTTTTGTACAATTGCAGGTTGGCAGTCATTGATGGGCGAGAAATTAGCCCAGAAATAGACCTTCCTGGGCTTCTCCAAGTTATCCATGAAGAAGGCAGACTGCCCTTCCCTAGTGCTGTATTACTGACCGTACCCCAAAGCAAAGCCTCCCAGGGATTGACCTTTTTGCTTTTTCATTCACAGTGAAACCATAGTTGCAGCCATGGCTGGGAAGCCTGTGCTTTACTACTACAATGCCCGGGGCAAAATGGAGTGCATCAGGTGGCTCCTGGCTGCAGCAGGGGTGGAGGTAGGTTGTGCATTCCTCTTCTGTACCAGGACCTAACATAAGCCTAAATACTACTCTAAGATAAGAAGCTCCACACAAGGAAAACTGTACACAGAATAAAATTCAATTGTAATCTTGATGTACTGAGAAAAAGAACTGATTTCCGTAAATGATAATTTTACTATGCTTTATACCAAAACCTCATTCACTTAAAAACTGTTTTCAGGAGAAAAACATATCAGCAATTACTCATTGGGTTAATTAGCTATTTGAGTTGTATAAGTAACATAATGAGACAAACAGAATTAGAAACTTAAATACTGATAATTAGGCAATAGTAATTGATTTTTGCAGGTCATGCATGATATTTTGATTTAGGTGGGACACCATTCTTTTAAAAAGAGTATTTAGACTTGGAGATTCACTACTGTGAATTTGTGAAAGGGACATGTGACACCTTCCATGATTGAGAAATTTCTTTAAACCTTTTAAACTGTGAAAGGAAAAGAGTGGTTTAAAGTACTCTAGACAACTGGAGAGATGATTAGGTGGCTAAAGATTAAACCACATGGGTTTGGATCCCAGGTACCCATATAGAAGGCCATCGTGGATTGTCATTGGGTATGTGCACCCTCCCACAAAAACATATAATACTCATACATAAAACCAGTATTTTAAGAATACAGCAGTGACCCTAGGATATAAGTACCTTTGATATGGGTCTCGAGTAAAGGCTTGGCTGTTTAAAGTTCTTATTGCACATGTAGGCTGTCGAGGACCGACTTAGACAAAAATACCTCTTGTCAAGGTAGGTGAATGGGAATTTAGAAATATAAGTAAAGAATATGAAGATGCCTAGAAATTAATAAGACAGAAACCATAGACTAATACTGGGAGGGTATTCCAGTGATTACTGAAAATTTGCTTCCATTTATTTTCCCATAGCTTTTATACCCAATGTAAATGAGGGTGGGGGAGGAGGGAGGTAACAAAAGACTTTATTAATATGATACAAAGGAGAACTCAAACAGTCAGTCGCTTTAACACTCTGAGACATCCAATCATTAGCATTCTGATCTCTAGGTAGCAAAACTGCTACAGATCACTGTATCCTGAAGGCTTCCATTTCCCCAGGAGACCTCATGGTTACAAAAGAAAGAGCAAAAGTACCTATCATGATTGAATGGAGCTATCTTAACATCAAAAATATCAAGCAGGTACATCCTGAGTTGGGACATGCAATTACATATGTTGATCATTTGAGCAACCTCCAACTCTCTGACTGTCAAGGTGGAAATGGGCCCAGATTTTAGGGCCTCCACAGTAGACAATCTACTATTGTTCCCAGCGCCCACATATGACAGCTAATAACTGCTCATCACTCTGTCTCCAACTGAATCTCTAATCGGTGGCATCTGACCTCCAAAGATGGATGTATTCACATGTGAAAGACCATACATAGACACAAGAGCATCTGTCCTCCAAAAATGGATGTATTCACATGTAAAAGACCATACATAGATACCAGACACACATTCACAAAGACACACACAATTAAAATTAGTAAAACTAAATCCTGAAGAAAAGAAACCCAGGTAATCATGGGCCCATACCATGCACCGTGAAATGCCACACAGAAAATTCTAGTCTATTCTCATTGGACTTAACAGGCTTTCCTGGGAGCCCAAAATCTCAACAGTCAACTTTCTAATGCTGGTTCTCCAGTGAGATCACTCTTTTTTATTTGTTTGTTTTTTGTTTTTGGAAACAAGGTTTCTCTGTATTCTGTCTCTGGATCTCTGGAGCTTGTCCTGGAACTTACTCTGTAGATGAGGCTAGCCTCAAACTCAGAGAGACATGCCTACTTTTGCCTCCTGGGTGCCAAGATTAAAGGTGTGGGCCACCTCTGTCCTGCATACATCACTCTTTTCTTAGGGCCTATGCATGGACATAGTGGGGTCAGGATGGAGGAATACTACAAGACTGAGTAGCTTTGTTGTGATCAATACCCTTTTGTTGATGGATCTAATCTAAATTCCAAGTGGACAAGATCAGTCTCCTTTCTATCTACTGCATGTTTTAACTTCTTCTGTGAATGTTCTATCAGACATAGTCTGCTCAAGCTCAAAGATTTCCAGTGATACAGAATGTTCTACCAGACACAGATTGTTCCGTTTCAAAAGTCTACAGTGATACAGAATGGGCTAATGAGAATGCCTTTACTTTTCCTGCTTCCAGTTTGAAGAGAAGTTTATGGAAACTTCAGAAGATCTGGAAAAGTTAATAAAAGGTAACACCAAGTGTCTGTATGTCCTCCATGTGGTACCTACTAGATGGTTTACCATGTTGACTGATGTTTCTCTCCCACCAGGTCCCGCATCCATTTAGTCCCAAATAAACACACAGAGGCCTACATTAGTTATAAACTGATTGGCCTATTATCTCAGGCTTCTTATTAACTTTTTAAACTTATATTAGCCCATAATTCTTGTCTCTGTTAGCAACACAGCTTGGTACCTTTTCGGCAAGGCAGTCACATCGTGCTTGCTCTGTGTCTGGATGACGACTGCAGACTGAGTCCTCTTCCCAGAATTCTCGTTGCCCCACCCCTACTTACTGCCTGGCTAGTGGCCAGCCAGCATACAAGTGACAGGATACAGACCATTGTCCCACAACACTCCCCCCCCTTTTTATAAACAAGAACTCTAAATAGAATCTCCTGCTTCCTGGAGAAGTCTGCTGGATAGTATGGGCCTGTAGGCTGAAGATGGATGCCCCAGTTGTACAAAAGAACTTTGGGTGATTGTCCGGGTAGTGGGATGTTTCTGTCAATTCTAGAGTTTTGGAAGTTGATTACAATGTACTTAGGTAATATTATATCTATCTGGAATCTTTGATGGAGTTGAAGAATTGATAGTTATAGTTTTCCTTAGTTATTATAAAAGAGAAAGTAGATATAAATATTGTAACTGTAATTCTTGCTTGATAACTGTTTTGTTATATGTAATTTTACTATATTAAAGCTAAAATCTTCCTTTTCATTTAAACAAAAAAGGGGAGATAATGTGGGATTCTCCTCTGTATTCTGTGACTATCACTGTTTAATGAAAGAACTGCTTTGGGCCTATAGCAGAGCTATAGGGGAACAATGCAAGGTGGGGAAAGCTAAATGGAATGCTGGGAGAAAGGAAGAGGACTTAGAGAGGAGCCATGGAGACCCCACCTAAGATAGATGTGCTGAAACTTTGCCAGTAAGCCAGGACCTCATGATGATGCACAGATTAATGGAGATAGGTTAAATTAATATGTAAGAGTTAGCCAATAAGAAACTAGAGCAAATGGACCAAGCAGTGATTTAATTAATACAGTTTCTGTGTCATTATTTCGGGACTGAACGGCTAGGAATCAGCAAGCAACTTCCTCCAACATTACCAGAAGGTGATGTTGGTGGGTGATGGGTGGGAACAGTCAGGAACGGCAAAGGGATGTGATGGAGGAGGTGGGGCTCCTTGAAGGGTCTGAAAATGGAGACAGTGATAAAAGTGGGATGCAGATTTCTACAAGAATTTGTCTGGGGGCTTGGGAATAAATGTTTTGTCACTCTTTCTAATTCAGAATGAGCTATTTCATTCAAGCTCCCTCTCATTGACTTATTCAGGCAGGGTTTCACCCACAAGGTCCAATAACCACACAGGTACATGGCCATTGATTAAATCACAGGTAGAAAACAGCTGGGGTGATTTTCTTGAGCATTTTCATCATAGCTACTGATGAGTCTCTATCACCACACAAGAATAGGCTGGAGGAACTCATGGTGACTCACTGCATAAGAAACTGTCACACATTACTGTAATGTCATGAACATGATTACGTTTTCCAATACCCTACTTAGTTCTGCTTTCATGGAGGCCTCTGCTGTCCCTCTTCCTCTTCCATGTTCATCCAGGGACATGAACTGATATGAAAACATGCACTAGAAATATAATATGTGTCTGGATAGGAAATAAAGATGGATGTGAGAACCTCAAAAGCCAGAAGAAGACGAGTGAGACAGAGAGGAAACAGATGCTAAAGTAAATGGGGTTCAGCTTGAAAGACTGAGAACCAATCATTTATCTTCCCTTTGCATGATCAGACACTTCAAAAAAAACTTTTCTGCTCCTGAAAAGTGAGACTTGGACACCTCAGAGACCTTTCCCTTTCTTCTTTTACAGATGGGAGGTTGATGTTTCAACAACTGCCCATGGTGGAGATTGACGGGATGACGCTGGTACAGAGCAGAGCCATTCTCAACTACATCGCTACCAAATACGACCTCTACGGGAAGGATGCGAAGGAGAGAGCCTTGTACGGTATATTTCCTGTTATTACTCCAAGAGGAAACAAAGGAAATTTGGGTCTCTCCATCAGTGAGCAAGAGAGTGGCAGGGTTTGTGTTTAGAAACAGGCTGGTCTAGGGATAACCACTTAGGCCAAGGATGGGAGAGTCCATGGAGGAGAGGGAAGAGCAAATGGGGTGGATGCAGGTGAGTGTGGCTACAGCCGAGGATGATGTTGTCAGCACAGCACAGCGACAGAATTGCAAACATCGTTGCCAAGGGTCTAAGCATGGGGGAACCATGACTCCAGGTGCTCAAGACTTCAGTGCTGGACCTCAGCCAACAGCTTAGGGCAAAGGACACAGGGATTGAGGCTGGAGAAGGAGTCCTAGGGAAGGAAGGGTGAAGGAGCTGCCTCCCACATCCCATGAGTAGGAACAGTGCAGGGCAAGAACTTGAGTTCCCAGCCAGTTCTACTGGTCAACTCAATGAAGCTTAGAGAGATTGGTTCCTAAGGACCAAGATAACCTGAATCATTTAACTCAGCACTAACACAGTTCTATGGACTGTACCACTCATGCTGGATGCACTCTTCTTGACAAAATCCTTCACTCATGAACCACTGTGTAAGAGTATTGCAATTGATCAAGAGATAAACGTGATGCTAGCCATAATCTATACTACGGGAAACATTTGTCCATGGGAAATAGAGACTCAGTTATAACAGTGCTTGTATAGAAATACTCCTAGCAGCATTATTTATAATTTTCTCATGGTAGATAAGCAATGATACTCAATAAAAGATGAAAGAGAAACACAGTGTGTGATTTTAGCCATGAACATGCATGAAGGGGTGAGGTAAGCAAAGCAAAGGTAAAGCAAGAACATTGTATGATGTTCCTGTCTCATATCATATGAAATGTTCTCGAGCTCCCCTGGATAAGGAGGAAGCAGATCATTCCTCCTGCAGCAGCTGCCACAGTGGCAGGATTGGGGTCTGAAGGGAGTGAGGATCAGACTCTTAACATCAGAGGGCGTCAGCAGTCTTAGAATGTGACAGATGCATTGGAACACAGAATATTACCTTTGCAGGGCCAACATGGGAAGTGTGTGGAAGTGTGAAAGTGAAACTCTCCCATAAGCACTGTGTGTAGTACAGTTTAGAACCAGGGATGTATGTGTCTGTGTGTGCTGTGGTTGAAATGAGTGAAGAAATAGACACATTGACATATGTCAGCAAGGCCAGAATCTAGCAGCAGTGTGTGGAGGTCATCCAGATGTTCTTCGTGAGAAATAAGTGGAGAACTTCGAACACTGACCTAGAATGACTCTGAGCCATGCAGCAGAATGAAAGATGAGCAAACATAGCATGGAGGGGCCGGAGGAGAGCCAGACAGAAAGAAACAGAAACAGTCGGAGACAGAGACAGCGAGACACAGCCACACACAGACAGAGGCAGAGAGACAGAGAGAGACAGAGAAAGCCTGCCTGCTGTAGAGTTGATGGTTATTATCTTTTGTTTGGTTTTGTTTTGTTTTGTTTTTCTAGACAGGGTTTCTCCGTAGCTTTGCTGCCTGTCCTGGGACTTGCTTTTGTAGACCAGGTTGGCCATGAACTCACAGAGATCCACCTGCCTCTGCCTCCCAAGTGCTGGGATTAAAGTCATGTAACACCACCACTTGGTTGATGGTTATCATCTTGGATGTCACTAAGTTTATCATGACTGCATCTCTATATGGATCAGTGGTGCTCTTTGTACTTTGGATGGGTCATGTGTGTGCAACAAAAACTCTAAACGTGTATTTTGTTAGAAAGGATGTTCTAGGGACAAACTTAATATATGTGTTATTTGCCACTATAGGTGAGTAAGTGTGCAACCACTTTTCAGTGTAAATTTCTCAGGTTTTTAGATTAAAAATCAAAATAGTGAATCCTTGAAAACCCTCGACCATATGGATGTTTTTGTCTTTCAGGATTGACATGTATACAGAGGGTATTATAGATCTGACTGACATGATGCTGAGAGTGGTAACATGTTTCCCAGACCAAAGAGAAGCCAAGATTTCCTTGGCAAAAGACAAAGCCAAAAGTCGGTACCTGCCTGCCTATGAACAAGTAAGTAGGCTGTTTGAAGTCTGGGGACACTGCATTCCCAGGACAAGACAAAGGCAGAGGTTGGGAGGGACAGGGTGCTGCCGCACTGACCTTCCATGAGCCTCCCTGTGCAGCTCCCTGCCCACAGGACGCTGTATAAAAATGGCCTGTGAAGGAGCACCACATGGTCACGCCAGTCTAGTGTCCACATTCAACAGGGTTCAAGGCCATAATCAGACCTGATCTGTGGAAGGCTGAGCCACACCATAGATGGACCTAGATCCTGCAGACACACTGGGCTTCAATTCCAGGGCTAACTGCAGAAAAACACAGATGGGAAAATTTTCTGTCACATCACACAGGGAGGTCAGAGAGCCACTGGCTGTCAGGAGAATAGGGTAGAGCTTCAAAGACAGAGAAAACCTGACCTAGGATAGAGATGCAGGGGAGAGGAGAAGGCTGATGAAGAGATGTAAAGAAACACTGGCCTGCAGGAGTTAGGGTCACAGATGGCAGGCTTGGAAGGAGAGCCACGCACACTCCACACGTGAAGTGGTGTCTGTGTACATGGGGTGCCTGTCTTAGTCAGGGCTTCACTTTGGATCAAGATCAAAAAAACTTCAGACTGACTTGATCTTCTGTCAAGTAAAAGATGAGAACAAAGCTGTGATCCTAGAGCGATCCTACACATTCCTCAGAGACCTGACTTTGACCCCATTTAAAATTCAGTGGAAATTTGCTCACAGCTGCCTCTGCTCTATGGAAGCAGTGAGGGATTTTGGAGCCACAGGTCCCACACAGCCCACTGGAGTCAAGGCCCTGTATCATAGGACACAATGTCCAACCATCACTGCTTGAATCATCTCTGCTGCGTGATTTATGAACTCCAGGCACACCGTGAGCTCTGTACTGAGAACATTTGATGCTTCCTTTTGTAGTTTTAGGTTTTCTTCTCTTCTGCTTCTTCTTTTTCTTTTTCTTTACAGCAGGATTTCTCTACTTTGTAGCACTGGCTCTCCTGGAACGCTTCTGTGGACTGGCCTCAAGCTCACAGAGTTCCACCTGCCTCAGCATCTTGAGTGCTGGAATTAAATGTGTGTGCCACCATGCCTGGCTTTCTTTGTTTCTGAAAGTATTCATTATATTTTTTCTCTGTAGACATGCACACTGTGATAAGGTGACCACAAAGCATTTTAATTCTTCTCTACTTGTAGCTCATGTTGTAGCAAGTGCTTGTCCTTTAAATTATCTGTGATATTCATATTGCTGGGATATTTAAGTAACTGTCATAAACTGTAACTGAGACAGTGCTATTATTAAATCTTGAGAGAACCAGAAATGCTGAAATAAATGTTAAATAGATACATAACCACCAATCAGATATCAAGATTAGCTCCATGTGGTGTTGGCATGCTCATCTGTACAAAGTTACTGAGATGTCAACTCAATTCCTCCTGTACAATTCAGCCCTGTCCATCATGACACAGTGAATGTTGGGAGTCAGAGCTGATGCTGTTCAGGGAGGATGTATTGTAGCTTAGCCAGGTGTATTTCAGTTTCTAGAGAACCGAGGAGAGCAGACACAGGAGAGGGCAGACACAGGGTGTTCTCTGGAGACTGATGTTCCCTGCAGGTGAGGCCTCTGCCCACGGGACTGAACAGACAGGACAGGAAGAGGAATGTCCTGAACTCCTGGTGTTCCGTCATTTCAAACTAAGGGGAGGAGTCATGATGTGCAAGGGGCTAAGCCTTCATCCCATGTGGAAAATATACATAGGGTGGCGGTGTGAAGGCCATGGGAATGTGCAATGACTGAGAAAGGTCACCTGAGCTTTAGAGAGGAGGTCCCGTGTCTGACTTCTCATGCTGCCTCTTGCATCATAGGCCTGTGTCTGCATTTGTATACCTGCCAGGAAGAGTCGGGGACTCCTTTGGGAGACTTGGGACGAAGTAGTGGCCACAGCTCAACCTTGTATGCTCATAATCTGTCTCCTTTAATTTGGCAGGTATTGAAGAGCCACAGACAAGACTACCTTGTTGGTAACAGGCTGACCAGGGTGGACATTCACCTGCTGGAAGTTCTTCTCTATGTTGAAGAGCTTGACTCCAGCCTTCTGGCCCCTTTCCCCCTGCTGAAGGTGAGAGAGTCAGAGAAGCAGCCACACATACTTGCCCCTGAGGATAAAATATTCTGGGCTGCTGAGTTACTAACCTCAGGCCTCCAAACTGAGCTATTAGATCCTGGTTACATGTATGAAAATAATCTTTTTACATATGGAGTTTTAAGGCTGGAACCCGAAGAAGACCATTTTGCCTTTTATCATGAAAAAGACACAGGACCTCACAGCTCTCTTCTTGGACCCCTGTTCCTTGCAGGCTGCTTCTGGCCTTCATCTTCCATCTCATGTGGCCTGTCTCTGCACACTCAGTGTCTGAGCAGGTCTCTGTCATGCTGACTCCTTCCTCTTCTCTGACTCCTCAGTACTCTGCTTCTCTCTCCATGGTCCCCACCATGTTGTCTCCCACCTCCCGTCCCCCTCCACCAGTGACCCATCCTTATCTCCAGTGTGAAAACTGACTGTGAGTTATTCCTCGTTAGACTTTGATATTTTCTGTTCCCATTTCCAACTCAGTTTTTCACGTCTTCACTTTTCTTTGCTAGTCTCTGCTTTCACACCTGAGAGACACAGTGCTCTGTGCTCTGTATTACAAAACCACATCTGCAGGATGTGTCCAGGGACCTGAGGAGAAGGCAATTGGATGTCAAAGGAGGTCTTAAAGAAATTATGCTGTAGCTCATGAATTTGTCATTCTTCTCATGTCTTCACTGGACCTGTTTCAAGGATGCATAGATTGTGTGCTGGGAGGGGCTCAGAGGTTTTGCACTGTGCACATGAACAGTTCTGACTCTCAGACTGTGTTTTCTGGATCACAGGCCCTGAAGAGCAGAATCAGCAGCCTGCCCAATGTGAAGAAGTTCCTCCAGCCTGGCAGCCAGAGAAAGCCTCCCTATGATGAGAAAATAATTGAAAAGGCAAAGAAGATTTTCAAGTTTCAGCCAAGCTGAGTAGACAGAGGCCACAGACACCAGTCTGTGATGTTTTGCAAAAATGAGAAGCAAGTGTGGTTCCTGGCTATTGTGAGATAATAAGGATGAACAAATGCTATATACATGTCACGTGTTCAAATGATTGACCGGGATTATGTGCATCACATTTGAAGAGTTCAGCAAACAATCATCACTACAAATAAAAACAAAACTTTGAAAACAGAAAAAAAACTTAATTAAAAGACCACCAGCAAAGGAAAGGAGTAACTAACATCGATGTAAAATAAACCAAAAATTTTAAAAGTAAAATTAGGTTACAAGTGGAGAAGATAAAAAGAAAAGTGGAAAAAAATATTTTTTAAAGACTGCAGGTTTGGTAGACAGGCATTAGACAGGTAGTAAGAGATCTTTTTATAAAAGGAAAAATTAGTGATGGAAAGACAAGACAAAATATAAAATTTAAAATAGTGAGAGACAATCTGGAGAGCTAGCTCAGAGGTGATAAGACATGTTGCTCTTGCAGAGGACCCAGGTTTGGGCCAGTATCTACAGGACATCTAACAACCATCTTTAACTCCAGCTCCAGAGAACCTGATGTCATCCTCTGGCCTCTGTGGTCACTGGACACCAATGATACACATATATATCTGTGGCAAAACACCTCAACACACAAAATAAATACTTAAAAATATTTTAATAGTAATAATAAAAGAGAGGGAAATACACATTCAAGCAAAAATAACAATAACAGAAAATTTCTTTAAAATTTTTTTTTATCTTCATCCTGGAGTGGTGACACATAACCTTAATCTCAGCACTTTGAAGGCAGAGCTACATGAATCTATGGGAGTTTGAGGCCAGCCTGGACTGCATACTGAGTTCTAGGACAGCCAGAGCTATAGAATAGTATGCCCTCTCTCAAAAAACGCAGAAGAATATTCTGTCCTTGCCCCCACTGGAACCCTGACTTCATCCTTTCCATTCATTATCAAATATCCAGGCCCAGTCCTGTCCTGTACATCTCCTGTTGAGGTCTAGCCTGGTGTGTTCTTCTGTTCCTATTCTCTGCACACCCTCCCCTTCCTCAGATCTAGCCTGGGCTCCACACCATAGCCCTGGTGTATCTGGTGAGCTTCACTTCCACCGCCATCAGCCTCCAGCTCAGGCCAGCGTGCACATCTGCACACACCTCAGACCGTCCCCAGCTGTGGGAGGCACAGAGGCCCTTGTGCTCACAGATAAGCACTAGGGAACCAGGAATGCTAAACACACAGGCTTGACCCTTCAAAGAGAGGGAGCCATTACCTGTTTCCTACCCAGGAGGCTGGGAACAAATGTAGTTAACAGCCTGGTGACCTTTGAACTATGTATTGAAGATCACACCAGATCCTCCACCAGACCCTATCATGAGCTTGTCAATATAATGAGCCCATGTTTAGGGAAGATGTCACTTGTACTTTACAAAAAATTTTGGTGTAGTCATGCCTTATGCTTTATTTGCCTAGGGGATTAAGTTTATCACCAGGAATTTTTTTCACCAAATTGTGCTGTGCTTAAGTCTGCCCAAAATAAACTACTCAGGGTCAGAGTCCCTTCCTCTCTACTGTAGGTTCTTACTCTGCTGACTGTGGTGGTTGTAGAGACCCCTATACCCAAACCCCAACTATCCCCTGATCCATCTCTCCCACATCATATCCACTGTCCGATCTGAGCCATTCCTACACATTTTGTGCTTTGTGCCAGCTTACCGTGTCCACATCAGACACAGAACCAACAAAAGAAGTCTACATACCCAGTTCTCATGGAAAATAATACAGGCAATATGAAAGATGAAGGCAGCATCTTCCCCAAGTCACATCCAGCAGTCCTATAAAATGTTGTCCAATGAGAATTAACCTTAAAAGAGAAATCACAGATTTCACTAAAGAATTCTAAGGGTTTAGAGAAAAAACAAACAACTCAGTAAATTTGAAGAGAATAAATACTTGGACAATGCTCAAGAACACACAATCATAAGAGTGATGGAAATAATGAAGACAACCCAGGATTTGAAAAAAGGATTCAATAAAGAGAGAAAAATATTGAAGAGAATATAAGTTGAAATGAAGGCAAAATTGAAAAACCTAATGATTCAATTAGAAACCTGAGGGAAATTCTTACAAATAGATGATCAAAGACTTTTAATTTGTTTGTATCATGGAAGGCTTATTCTCCTTCAGCTATGGCAGACATTTTGCTGTGCACAGCACTCTAGGTTGTCTATCATAGTCTTTTAGAACTTGGAACACACTATTCTGGGCTTTTTTGGCTTTCTAAGTTTTTGTAGAGAAATCAGCTGTTACTCTGGTGGGTTTTTCTTTTTTTAATTAATTAATTAATTTATTAAAAATTTCCACCTCCTCCCTGCCTCCCTTTCCCCTCCCCCTCCCCCATTCCCCTCCCTCTCTAGTACTAAGAGCAGTCAGGTTTCCCCGCCCCTTGGGAAGTCCAAGGTCTTCCCCCCTCCATCCAGGTCTATAAAGGTAAGCATCTAAACAAACCAGGCTCCCACAAAGTCAGTCCATGCAGTAGAATCAAAACCCAGTGCCATTGTCCTTGGCTTCTCAGTCCACCTTCATTTCCAGCCACATTCAGAGTATCCAGTTTGATCACATGCTCCATCACTCCCAGTCCAGCTGGCCTTGGTGAGCTCCCATTAGATCAGTCCCAGTGTCTCAGTGGGTGGACGCACCCCTCGTGGTCCTGACCTCCTTATCCATGTCTTCCCTCCTCCTGCTCCTCATTTGGACCTTGGGAGCTAAGTCCAGTGCTCCAATGTGGGTCTCTGTCTCTATCTCTATCCATCGCCAGATGAAGGTTGCATATGGTGATATGCAAGATATTCATCAGTGTGGTTATGGGACAAGGCCAATTCAGGCACCCTCTTCTCTGTTGCCCAAGGAACAATCTGGACCTCTCCTTGGACCTGGGAACCTCTCTAGAATCAAGTCTCTTGCAAACCCTAAAATGACTCCCTTAATTAAGATATTTACTTCCCTGCTCCCATATCCACACTTTCTCCATCCCACCCATCCCATTCCCCCAAGCTTTCCCGAATCCTCCCTTTCTCCCTTCTCTCTACCCATCTCCCCTTACATTCACCCCCCCCACACACACCCCGTGCATCCAAATTTTGCTTGACAACCTTGTCTACAACCAATATCCAGGAGGATAACTATATGATTTTCTTCAGGTTCACCTTCTTATTTAGCTTCTCTAGAATCATGAATTATAGGCTCAAAGACCTTTAATTATGGCTAGAATCCACTTATGAGTGAGTACATACTATATTCCTCTTTTGGAGTCTGGGCTACCTCACTCAGTAAAGCATTTTCTATTTCCATCCATTTGCATGCAAAATTCAAGATGTCATTGTTTTTTACCGCTGAGTAAAACTCTAATGTGTATATGTTCCACACCTTCTTTAAACATTTTTCTATTGAGGGGCACCTAGGTTGTTTCCAGGTTCTGGCTATTACAAATAGTGCTGCTATGAACATAGTTGAACAAATGCTTTTGTAGTATGATTGGGCATCTCTTGGGTATATTCCCAAGAGTGGAATTGCTGGGTCCTGAGGGAGGTTTACTCCCAGTTTCCAGAGAAACCTCCACACTGATTTCCAAAGTGGCTGCCCAAGTTTGCATTCCTACCAACAATGGATGAGTGTTCCCCTTACTCCACATCCTTTCCAGCATAGGCTATCATTGGTGTTTTTGATTTTAGCTATCTGACAGGTGTAAGATGGTATCTCAATGTTGTTTTGATTTGCATTTCCTTGATCGCTAAGGAGGTTGAGCATGACCTTAAGTGTCTTTTGGCCATTCGAAGTTCTTCTGTTGAGAATTCTCTGTTCAGTTCAGTACCCCATTTTTTAATTGGGTTAATTAGAGTTTTAGTGTCTAGTTTCTTGAGTTCTTTGTATATTTTGGAGATGAGACCTTTGTCTGATGCGGGATTGGTGAAGATCTTCTCCCAGACAGAGGGTAGCCTGTTTGTCTTACTGACAGTGTCCTTTGCTTTACAGAAGTTTCTCAGTTTCAAGAGGTCCCATTTATTCATTGTTTCTCTTATTGTCTGTGCTACTAGGGTTCTGCCTAGGAAGTGGTCTCCTGTGCCCATGTCCCTTAGACTACTTCCCACTTTCTCTTCTATCAGGTTCAAAGCAGTCAGATTAATGTTGATGTCTTTAATCCATTTGGACTTGAGTTTTGTGCATGGTGATAGATATGGATCTACTTTCATTCTTCTACAGGTTGACATCCAGTTATGCCAGCACCATCTGTTAAAGATGCTTTCTTTCTTCCATTGTATACTTTTAGCTCCCTTGTCCAAAATCAGATGTTCATAGGTCTGTGGGTTAATATTCGGGTCTTCTATTTGATTTCATAAGTCGACTTCTCTGTTTTCATGCCAATACCAAGCTGTTTTCAATACTGTTGCTCTGTAATAGAGTTTGAAGTCAGGGATGGTAATGCCTCCAGAAGTTCCTTTATTGTATAAGATTATTTTGGCTATCCTAGGTTTTTTGTTTTTTCATATAAAGTTGATTATTGTTCTCTCAATGTCCGTGAAGAATTTTGGTGGAGATTGCATTGAATTTATAGATTGCCTTTGGTAGAATTGCCATTTTTACTATGTTGATCCTCCCAATCCAAGAGCAAGGGAGATCCTTCTATTTTCTGGTATCCTCTTCAATTTCTTTCTTCAAAACTTTAAAGTTCTTGTAAAATAGGTCTTTCACTTCCTTGGTTAGAGTTACCCCAAGATATTTTATGCTATTTGTGGCTATCATGAAAGGTGATGCTTCTCTGATTTCCCTCTCTGCTTCTTTATCCTTTGTGTATAGGAGGGCAACCGATTTTTTGGAGTTGATCTTGTATCCTGCCACATTACTAAAGGTGTTCATCAGCTGTAGGAGTTCTCTGGTAGAGTTTTTGGGGTTGCTTATGTACACTATCATATCATCTGCAAAAAACGAAAGTTTAATTTCTTCCTTTCCAATTCGAATCCCCTTGATCCCCTTATGTTGTCTTATTGTTATTGCTAGAACTTCAAGCACTATATTAAAGAGGTATGGA